AGTGGACTAGCATTTGTGCAGCTTAAAAGCTCTGAGCAATATAAGCAATTTTTTTCTGGAACGACAATCCCTGTTGGTATGGTTTCTCCCTACGGTTCTGAGTTGGCTCTTTCAGGCAAGTCTGGCTGCCATCCTGTCAAGTCCAGCAATTTCTGTCTTAGTGGTATTTCAGGTCTCACTGTGCTTTCCCTGTGTTTCAGGGGGCTTTGGAACGTTCCCTACATCAGCAGCGTTTACATGGTTAAAGCCAAGGCGCTGCGCTCGGAGCTTGACCGGGAAGATCTTTTCCACAGTGGCAAACTGGATGCTGACATGGCTTTCTGCCACAACGTTAGGAATCAGGTCAGTCCAGGAGAGAGGCTGGCAGGGAGAGCTGCATGCCAAGGTGGAGGGTGCAAGATTAAGGAGTTCCAAGGCATTCAGCTCTGCCGGGCAGGGGACGGGGTGAACTGGCACTAGTCAGTGCTGGGCAGACTTTGGAACAGTGTGGGATTTCTGTCCTGCTGTGAAACCACACGAAGCCAGGGACCACTAAATGTGGATAACATTTTTGTTCTTGGGCCTATTCAGGCCTGTTCTAAATGGAAATGACACGGTAAGAAGGAAGAACCTAATCTCACAGCAGCTATTCTGCTCGGCCTCCAGCCCTGGCTGACAAGAGACAGAATTACTGTCTCTGGCTATAGCCTTTCGGAGCTCCTCATATCCAGGGTGGAAATTTAACTGAAGGGCCACAGCAGGAAGAATGAGTAAATTAACACCTTGGAGAACTGTCAGTGCTTATATTTCATGGTGGCTCACAGAAATGCAAGGCCTTGACAGTCTTCCTCTGTCCTACAGGGAGTCTTTATGTACCTGACAAACCGGCACCAGTTCGGACACATCCTGTCCCTGGAGAATTACCAGACAACTCACCTCCACAACGACCTCTGGCAAATATTCAGCAATCCTGAGGTGAGACAACCTGCATGCTCAGCAGGCACAGCACTGTTGCATGGGAATATCTGATGATTTGCTTCACCAGTACGGGAGGTCCAGGCTTTGTAATAATGATGTCTCTCAGGTGGGATGAGGAGCGCAGTCACAGAATTTAAAGAGAGGGTGTTTATGAGATTCATAGCATCTGGATCTTCAAAGCCTGTGAAAACTGCATGAGTGCCTGTCCTTTCATTGCCTCTTTAAGCAGGCCCCCCAGAAATGACTGGTTTGCTTATCTTCTGTCTGCAGGACTGGAGAGAAAAGTACATCCATGAAAACTACACAGCAGCTCTGAAGGGGAAATTGGTAGAAATGGTAAGAAAACATCACTCATCCATCACAATGGGAGATCAGCATCGGGACAATGTTTGTATCATTACTATTGTCATTCTTGGGAAGAAGCAGTTCAGCACAGGGAGCATGACCTTGAAAGTATTTTTAGAGCCAAATCCTTCTCCTGGAAGTACATCTCCAGCTCTCTTAAGTGGAAATGGGGCACATAAATCAGAAGACAAATTTCTATCCTCAATATTTTAGTGTCTTTCCACTTGAACTGACTCAGTCTGCACTCAGTTTAGCCTTACTCCTTTTGCCTCAAGCACCTGTCCTTGTTTCTGCTGTTCTCACCTGTTTGCTTTCTGCAGCCCTGCCCAGATGTTTACTGGTTCCCCATATTCACTGACACTGCCTGTGATGAGCTGGTGGAAGAAATGGAACATTATGGCCAGTGGTCCACAGGTGACAACACGGTAAGTAAAGCAGGAGCTCTTTGAGTTTTGGGTCCTGCTTTTATCTGTGCATATTTGGTGGCAGCTGTGCCTCCTATGGGAAGGCATTAGATCCCACAGTTAAACCAGGAAACTGGAGACGACACCCTAATTTTGTTCTTAAATGTGAATTAATTTTTGAGTCCTCTTTAGTGTCCTCTGAAGATACAGTGTTCAGCCTTCATAATGGCAATATTGTTTCCCTTAGGTTTTAATTATTGTCTGAAATGAGTTTTCCATCCTGCAAACTGTGATAAGTAAACATCCTATTTATTTGTAGTTACCAGAAACAAGTGCTTTTCATTCCTGAACTCCAGGATTCCCATCCTTATGGGTATTTCTGTGATTCTATTTCAGGACAGCAGAATACAAGGAGGATATGAGAATGTCCCAACTATTGACATACACATGAACCAAATTGGCTTTGAAAGAGAATGGTATAAGTTTCTTCTGGACTATATTGCACCCATCACAGAGAAACTGTACCCAGGGTACTACACCAAGGTATGTGCACCTGAGCATCAAAACTGGCCAGCTTCTGATCACCTCTTCCAGTTGCAGCTTTGTGCAAAGACTGCAAGAATCCTCTAGGAATACACATACTTTTTCCTAGTGTGGGGGGACTGACCCTGGAGCGTGACATAAGTATGAGCATTAGGAAATATGCAATTTCCCAGGCATTCTCCTGCCTGGTCGCTGCCTTTCTCCCTTAGCAGTGGAATGCAGTTTCAGTGTTACACCCTGCTCTGCAGCTCAGCAGCCAAGGACCACTACAGCCCCGTAACAGTGCCCTTTGTTCTTCTCTCCTCAGACTCAGTTTGAACTGGCCTTTGTGGTTCGCTACAAACCCGACGAGCAGCCGTCCCTGATGCCCCACCATGACGCCTCCACCTTCACCATCAACATTGCCCTGAACCGAGTTGGGATAGACTATGAGGTGAGTGCCAGTGGGGCAGGAATGCAGCACAGCCTCTGGAGCAGTCCAGGCAGCTGAAAACCCTTTCCTTATCCACATCTGGCTTCTTCACACTAAGGACTGCAATTTTTGACTGGGCTAGGGTAGGAAGGAGAATTCTGAATGCATCAGAACAGAGGGGATTCTCCAAACACCTTCTCACATTTTCAGAAGGGCTGTCAGGAGAAGGCAGAGGCCCTTTCCCTGAGGTGCTTCTTCCAAGCTGACGTGTCTCTTGTGTTCCCATCAGGGAGGAGGCTGCCGGTTCCTGCGCTACAACTGCTCCATCCGAGCTCCACGGAAAGGATGGACCCTCATGCACCCGGGACGCCTGACCCACTACCACGAAGGGCTCCCAACCACCAAAGGGACTCGTTATATCGCAGTGTCCTTTCTTGACCCCTAGAGCATTGCTTCCCAGCAAGGACCTTTCCCTGGCCCTGCTCACTGCTGACTCTGAGTGGAAACAGGGAATGCTGCTGAGAGTTTCTAAGGCATTGTTCAAAGGTATTTGGATATTGATTTTTAATGGTATTTTAAGACTCCACTACTGGAAGATCTCCCTCTCTGATACTGCAGGTAATATCTAGGAATATTGCTGCAGAATTGCGAAGGAGATTTTGTGCCTTCATTTTTGATTCTGCTCCTCATCCGCTGTTTCTTGGAAGTGCCATTTACTTGAACCTTCTATCACGGAATGGTTGGCTTTAAAAAATGCTTTCCTGGACTGGAAATCCAGCTTTTTGGAGGCAAGTCACAAGCTGGAAGCCTGTTTTCATCTACAGCATATACAGGACTGGATGTTAGATGATAATTCCTGGACAGTATTCCAAATACAAAGCAATCAGGGAGCTGACTCCAGCAGTTATAAGAGTTAAATGTCACACCAGATGAAACTCAGCAGTAAGAGCCTGAAGATCATCTGATTCCTTACCTCTTTGCAGTTCTTGCAAGCCTATCACAAAGTTCAAAGCAGCAGCAGTGGCAATATAGGTACTTCTGATCAACTGAAGGAAGGTCCTCTAATGATGCTTTACCTCTGGGATTAGACTGAAGAGATAAGACAGCCTCCCTACCTTTTGTTTCTGCAGCTAAGAGCAGCAGGGATACCCACACACATTCAGACCACCTCAGTCTGTGAAGATCAGATCTAAGAAAGGGAAGTCTGGGAACAACTGCATCAGTCAGAAGGGCTTCGCTGTGGAATTGTCTCTGTTCTTTACCATGTTAAGATTGTCAAAACCTCTGATCAATCTCTGGATAACATCCCAGAGGTCCTGGTGGTGTTTGGTGGCCTCATTCCAATTGTCAGAGATTGTTTTGGTCATTTTCTTTGATGGCCCATTCACATTAGGTGTAAAGAGCTGTTCTCTCGTTCTTAGGGGAAATAATTATTCAGCGTTTCTATTATTTAAGATTGCAAACCAAAACACTCCACTGCAGACAGTTCTCCAGTGGGGTCGAGGCTGATAGAAATGAGTGGTTGGGAAGTGCTGAGAGATTGTGATGAACTAGTAGGTGTAAAAATCTATCAAGAGTAGTACCATGGTTAGAGAGGGAAGGGGAGAAACCTTTCCTGCCTGTGAGATCCCTGCTCTGCTTATCCCACACTGTTATGCTCTGGCTCTGCCAGACTAGTGCGTTTCACAAGCAGTAAATTCACATCATGATTGTCCTTAGGGGAAAAAAAAATCACCTTCCTCTTCATTGTCTGTGTCTGCAGCTTCTGCTGCCTGATTGTGAGGGGCAGAGCCCCTTCCTCGGGGACGGGTCACATTAATGTGGGCACAACAGCTTTACACGTGTAAGTTCGGGCAGGGAACTGCCTGCGGTTGGAATGTGCCTGAGGAAGGTGACAGAGCTTTTCCCACCGCTTTCCATGAGCTTTTTAGGTCTGTTTTGAGGCCACACACTCAGAGGTGCCTGGGGGAGAAAAATCCAGGCGGGGCGACCATTTGAGAAATAAAACTGTAATAAAACCTGTTAGGTGAAAGCCAGAGCTGTCTGTTACCAAACGAAGGGATTGATACGCCAAACGTTGAGATGTCCAAAAATGTGTACTATGTATTTATTCAGCAGTTGGGTTTTTGTTTGTTGTTTGTTTGGGGGGTTTTTTTTCCACTTATTTTGTTGTGTCTTTCCTCGTGCCGGTTCGGTGATCGGAGTTTTAACGAGCTGTACGAGGGAAACTCGCATTAAAAAACCCTTTCCCGTGTCGGCGGGTTCGGTTCGGTTCCTGAGGTGGAGGGCGGGGTGTGACCGGGGCCGCCTCCGCCATGATGGCCCCGAACTACAGCTCCCGGCGTGCCCCGCGCCCGGCGCGCGCCGCTGACCCGCCCGGTGACGGCGGCGCGGGGGAACATGGCGGCCGCGGGGGAGCGGCGGTGAAGGTGAGCCCCGGGCGGTGCCCGGCCCAGGGCGCGGGGGAGAGCCGCTCCAGGCCGCGACAGTGCTTCGGGGGGAGGTCGCCTCCCGGGCGGCACGGACGGGAACAAAGGCAGAGACAGGGGCGGCAGCGGTGAGGGTGGGACCCGCCGGGAAAGGGTCCTGAGGGGGCGCGAGGGAGGCGCTTCCCGCCCCGTGAGGGCTGAGGGGGAGGCGGCGGTGTCAGGTCGGAGTGTCTGCCCAGAGCGTCTCCTGGGCACCGGGATGGCGGGGGGACAGAGCCCGGAGCATCCTCCGGGCATGGGGACGGCGGAGGGGGCAGAGCCCCGAGCATCCCCTGCACATGGGGATGGCGTGGGGGGCAGAGCCCGGCCCCTCACGGAGCTCCTGTCCCTCATCCCTGGCCCCTCTGCCGCAGGGACGGAGACCGGCTGGACTCGGCGTCGCTGAAGGAGCTGCAGGACGGAGGGGAGGGGACGGAGTCCGGCCAAAGAGAGGGAGAAGGCAGGGAAACTGCTGCCGTTTTGTCTTCAAGAGGGCCTTGAGCTGGCCATGCATGACTGGTGAAAACGTAACTCATCCTGAAAGTAAGTGGAAGATGGGGAGGAGTGATCGCTGTGGGGCTGTTTATTGGAAGGGAGAGGGAAAGGCAGGTTTTTTTAATTTCTGATATATGGGTAGTTTTCATGTGTATAAAGTGGAACAACTTCTTTGTGGAAAAAAAGAAGATTGTTTTTAAAATGTGTATTTATCTTGTTCATGTTAGGATGCTTAGTTGGATCATGGAATCATGATCACAGAATGGTTTGGATTGGAAGGGACCTTAAAGATTATCCAGTTCTACCTCCCTGCCATGGGTAGGGACACCTTCCACTAGCCCAGGTTGCTCCAAGCTCCATCCAACCTGGCCTTGGACACTCCCAGGGATGGGACATCCACAGCTTCTCTGGGCAACCTGTGCCAGGGCCTCCCCACCCTCACAAGGAAGAATTTCTTCCCAATATCCCATCTAACCCTGCCCTCTGGCAGTGTGAAGCCATTCCCCCTTCTCCTATCACTACACACCCTTGGATAGCTGTTGGCACTTGGTGACACTGTTCTTTACTGGATTTTTCCCTGCAGCGCAATGTCCCTGTTGTTCACTCGTTCCAACTCAATAGTTGCAGTGAAGAAGGATAAAAGACACATGGCTGAGGTAAATGCTTCTCCACTTAAACATTTTGTCACTGCAAAGAAGAAAATCAATGGTATCTTTGAACAGTTGGCTGCTTACATCAACGAGAGCTCCTCGTTCCTGGAAGGTAAGCTCAGTTCTGGAACTACGAGTGTGTGACAGTGCTTTGCCCACAAACAGTGCTCCAAAACAGACACACCAAACCTCCTCATTCAGTTTAATAGCGCTGCTAGACCTGTGCTTATTTATACATGTGTGTCTTGTTTATGTATTCATGTTTATAAGAAAAACAGAAAATTATTTTGTTGAATTTGTTCAGGTGTTCAGCTTCATATTTTGAAGATGAGAATTTCATGCATGTTAGGAAACTGAGCTAGTTAGGGAGCTATGTATGATTTTTATGTTGTTTGGGAGATTTTTAATTAATTACACAACCCCTTTGGGTTTTTTTTGTCTATAATCCTTTCAGTGTTCTTGGCTGGACACATCACTGTTAGTGACATGTAACATATGCCAGTAATTGGCTTTAACAGCTTAAGGCACAGACAGATTTTTTTTTTTTAAGGGTGCTGGAGTGTTTGCAGTGTGGGCTGTTCTGTTTAGGGCAGTCCCAAGGACGGGGATGGTTTTTAGGTACACAAAAGGGACCAGCTGATAAATGCTGTTGCAGAATTGCCTCAGGGTGTCATTGCCTGTGTGGAGATCGCCCACGCGGGCTGTGGGACAGATAAATGTTCAGTGCTGTGTGTTACCATCACAGAGAGGGGTGGCATCCAGCACTGACCCAGATGGCTCCTGGAATTCAGAGACATGATCTGTTTTGATTTTAGAAACACACAAGAATGGAGAACTTGATCCTGTCACCACAGAAGAGCAGGTACTGGAAGTCAAAGGCTACCTGTCAAAAGTCAGTGGTATTAGTGAAGTGTTGGCAAGACGACATATGAAAGTTGCTTTTTTTGGGAGGTGAGTCACGTGGGTGTGTGTTGCCTACGCTCCCCACTCAGTGAAGCATTTGAGGATTGAAGCCAGTAGAGAATATTTATAGAAACACTAGTGCTTTAGCTTCTGCATGTCCCTGGCACTAGTGCTTTGTAAATTGGAAAGAAATATTGTATCATGTCATTCTTCAATTTGAAGAATTCTTACAATAAGAGACTAGCAAAGTCTTTTTGCAGGTTGCCTCTGGCACCTGAGTTGTGAATGGCTCTGGTACAGCTGGGCTTTAGAGAACTTGCTTTCTGTAAAATCTGGCTCTCGGAACCCTGCTACACCATTCTTAATCTGACTGCAGGACAAGCAATGGGAAGAGCACTGTGATAAATGCCATGCTGTGGGACAAAGTCCTTCCTTCAGGAATTGGGCACACCACCAATTGCTTCCTGCGTGTAGAAGGGACAGATGGACATGATGCTTTCCTGCTGACTGAAGGCTCAGAGGAAAAGAAGAGTGTTAAGGTATAATTTCCTTAAGCATAAAGGCTCTTCAGAAATGGCAGAAAAGGGAAGGAACAAGAAAATTAAAGTGCTGTGAACAAATTTCACAATTAAGGATTTTAATCGTTAAAGGAATAGAGATGAAGAATGAGTCTTTTTAGATGTAGGAAGGGAGAAATGAAGCAAGTCACAGGATGGAACTTGTTCATTTTGTGAAAAAGATGATATGTTGTATTTGTCGGTGACAGCAGGGAGCAATGACTCAGGAAGTTCTGAGCTTTGTGTGACTGACAGAATCACAGACTTCCTGATAATTCCTCAGTAGCTTTTCCTGACAGAAAAAATCTCTCATAAACTCTCATTAGTGGTTGTCTTTTGACTAAGACACTCAAAAAGGTTTTATATGGAAAACCTCCCTGGGAGAAAGTAATTTGGAGTTGGGTTTTATCTTAAATTGTCGGTGCACAGCTCTGAAGGGGAAAGAATTGTGTTAGTGGGTCTTGGCACCCAGGAAATGTTATTTCCATCTTTTCATAGACAGTAAACCAGCTGGCTCATGCCCTTCATCAGGATGAACATCTGAATGCTGGCAGCCTGGTCAGTGTAATGTGGCCCAATTCCAAATGTTCTCTCTTAAAGGACGACCTGGTGCTGATGGACAGGTGAGAAATAGTTTTCTTTCCTTTCCTGCTTATCACAGACTAATTACGGAAATGTTTTCAAATACCTGTTTAACAAACATCAAAGGGATTGACCTTGTTCCAATCTGTGACAGTGACCAAAGTCCTTTGCTGCAGTTGGCCAGTCAGATTTTCTTGTCAGTACTTCCTTGGAATCTGTACTCTTGTCACCTCAGGACAGTGTAGCTCAAACGTGGGAAATTAATGCCCTGAAAAGCTGAAACACATCTCTTACTAACTTTTGTAATTCTGGTTTTGCTGTTTCCACAGCACAGTAATGTCTCATTTCTCTTTATTGCTAGCCCTGGCATTGATGTAACCACAGAGCTGGACAGCTGGATTGACAAATTCTGTCTCGATGCTGACGTGTTTGTCCTGGTGGCAAATTCTGAATCAACGTTGATGCAAACTGTATGTGCAAGTCCACTTCAGGGAATTTGGCTGAGGGTTAAAAATACTTGACATATTAATCTGAAGAGGTTTTGTTTCATTTTCCTTAGGAGAAGCAGTTCTTTCACAAGGTGAATGAACGCCTGTCTCGGCCCAATATATTTATTTTAAATAACCGCTGGGATGCATCTGCCTCTGAACCAGAATACATGGAAGAGGTTTGTGATGTGGTTAAACTTATTCTCTTTTCATGGATATTATGGAGTCTTTTGACTCTGGTCTTTGCAGGTACAATCAGTGTTGTGTGTGATTGTTTTACAGTTTTTTTATCCCCTTAGTGTGGAGACTAGGGGGAGCACAGACTAATGATCAGGACATGACTCTGGAAATTTCTGAGCACGACTCTCACAGGGGCCTTTTGAAGTTAAATCACTTAGACAACCTCTGGAAAATTCCATAGAATAGGAAAGGTTTTTTCCTTGCTCTTTTATGTTGGCAGCTTAGACCAGCAGAGGGCATGTGGGTGCTTGGCCTAACCTTTAGGGGGTGGATGAAGCAGATTTAACTGGCTGTGTTGTTTGTCCTGTTGGGCCCTCAGGTGCGCCGGCAGCACATGGAGCGCTGTACCAGCTTCCTGGTGGATGAGCTGGGAGTGGTGGATCGAGCCCAGGCAGGGGATCGCATTTTCTTTGTGTCTGCAAAGGAAGTGCTGAATGCCAGGATTCAGAAGGCTCAAGGGATGCCAGAGGGAGGTAAGGAAAGCTAGCAGAAATTTTGCGTTGACTTGAAGAAAATAGAGAATATCTTGTTCCAAAGAATGAATTAAGTTGGGGCCAAATTAATAATAGAGCAATCGAAGAGGCGACTTAGCAGCACTTTTGCATTGGCTTCAGTGTTAAAGCAGGAGCATTTCTTGATGTCCAACACCTGACTGCTTTTGCAAAACTGAAGTGGTTGTTCTGTGCTTTCCTTCTCTCAGGTGGAGCATTGGCAGATGGATTTCAAGTAAGAATGCTTGAGTTTCAGAACTTCGAGAGAAGGTTCGAGGTGAGCATTATGTTGTGCTGGTTAGATCTAAAAGACTGGGGGCTGGTGGGGACACACTTTGGAAACAGATCAAATGGGAAGGAGAAGTTGTGTCAGTGTGCTGCTGATCTTGGGCTGCCTTTTGTCTACAGGAATGTATCTCCCAGTCAGCAGTAAAAACAAAATTTGAGCAGCACACGGTGAGAGCGAAGCAGATTGCAGAGGATGTTCGGCTCATCATGGACTCTGTGCATGTTGCTGCCCAGGAACAACGGTGAGGAGAGCTGAGGCTTGGTGCTTCCATAACTAAAGTATTCTGGGAGTCATTTAAGGGAACCATGAGCATTTGAAATGCAAAGCAGAACGTAGCTGTTTGGGAGTGGGAAGGACATGTACTGGTGAACTGGGAAAGTGTTGGGAAGAGGACCTTTTATCCTGTGCTGTATAATGTATTGCAGATACTGACATGTTGTGTTACTGGGTGGGAGAATCTGTCTTAGTGCTGAAATTCAAATATATTTATAGATCAAAAATGCATTTCTCTGACACTTTGATGGACAGGGTTGTTTTTTCACCAGAGTTTACTGTCTGGAAATGCGAGAGGAACGACAGGATCGTTTAGGTTTTATTGACAAACAGCTGGAGCTCCTGACTCAAGACTACAAGAGGAAAATCAAACAGATCACAGAAGAAGTGGAGAGGCAGGTAAGGAGGAGTGGCTGTGGAAAACTAGATTGTCTGAAACAGCATGGTGGGGAGAATACACAGTGCTGACAAAGCTTTGAAGTACTAAAAATGTGGGAGTTACAGGTGGGAAGAGAAGAAATGCTTTCACAAGCTCTGTTTTCTGTCCTGTGCTGTCTCTCTAGGTGTCAAACGCCATGGCAGAAGAAATCAGACGGCTCTCAGTGTTGGTAGATGAATACCAGGCAGACTTCCATCCATCTCAAGTAGTTCTTAAAGTGTACAAGACCGTAAGTGATGTTTGCTTCTTACCAGTTGCTTAAGCAACTTAAGAGGCCTTTTTTAGCTCTGAGTCAGTAATTATGCCAGCTCATTGGGATGGTTAACATCCTTCCAACTAGGATATGAGCTAAGGCTTTAGTTTTTTAATAATCTCAGTGATGAATTGATACACATATGATGTATCACATTATATAGATCAAACAGAACTTTTCCTAGACTAAAGAGTGCACATGAGATTTCTTTGATTTGCCTTTTCCTCTTCACTGAAAAAGGGAGGGAAGAACGAAATTAATATTAGAACAGTGGGCAGACAGAACGTGTGCTCCTGTTCTGGGAGGGTTTTTTTTACCAGCAAGCTCTAGCACCTGCAGCCTGCATCTTACCTATGTTTATTCTAATCTTAATAACCCTTTCTTTGTCAGGAGCTGCATAAGCACATCGAGGAAGGCCTGGGCCGTAACATGTCAGAGCGCTGCTCCAACGCAATCACAGCTTCCCTGCAGACAATGCAGCAAGAAATGATAGGTCAGTTCCACTGGCAATATTCCCCTTTCTCTTCCCTTGAATTGACATGGAAAATAACTGGGCCGGTGTTCTGGGTTCCTTGTTAATCTGATGGCTGGTGTCGGCTGGTATCATCTTAGTTTCCATCTTGATTAATACTGTTGTGTAGAGGACTAGTTCTGGGCCTGAACTGGTGCAGTGATTTGCTATTGAATATGTACAGTCAGCATAATCCTCGTGGCAGAGAGGAATCTTGGCTTTGGAAACTTGATTCTCAGATCAAATCCTAATGAAACAGGAATGACTTGTAACTAGGTGCCTGTCTCAGTATGGGATTTCATGGGAGTATGGTGCCTAAAGACTTATAACTGCTTTCAGATTCTGTTTGTCAAGGTATTGGTAATCTGTAAGCTTCACCAGCTACCTGTAAGGATTTTGGAGGGTCCATGGAAAGATTTCCTTCTGAGTTGATCTGAAGAACCTAGAATAGTAATTCAACACTAGCAACATGCTTGGCTTATGAAATTTAACATACTAAGGAAACTAGCTGTGGAGGATGGAAGAAGCCATAACCACCCTGATTGCAGAATACAAGTCCAGTGAATTCTTGTGAACTCGACAGCCCTTTTTTCCATGTTTTTCTTTCCTGTCTGTGCAGATGGTTTAAAACCCCTCCTCCCAGTCTCCCTGCGGGGCCAGATAGACATGTTAATTCCCCGACAGTGCTTCATGCTCAGCTATGATCTGAACTGTGACAAGCTTTGTGCTGACTTCCAAGAGGACATAGAATTCCATTTCTCTCTTGGATGGACGATGCTGGTGAACAGGTTTTTGGGACCAAAGAATGGTCGTCGGGCCTTGATGGGCTATAATGACCAGGTAAGAGACCTTGTTGAGTATTGGGGTAGATGTGATTTCTGTTATTTCAGTGGCTGATGAGGTTGTTTGGGGGGGGGAGGGAGAAGAACAGTGGCTTGCCTTCTCTTATCTGTCCTTTGGTTTTGTTTTGTCCCTGCTTTTCCAATTAGGTTCAACGCCCTTTAACACCAGCAAATCCCAGTCTGCCTCCTTTGCCTCAGGGCTCTATGACCCAGGAAGAGCTCATGGTGTCCATGGTGACTGGCCTGGCCTCATTAACCTCCCGGACTTCCATGGGGATCATCGTGGTTGGTGGTGTGGTACGTTGGCCTTCTGGGCAGCATTTATATAACTGAAGTTGGAGCACTGACTTGAACAGCACTTGCACTGCTGAATCCTGTAGATAATTGCTATTCACAGATAGGGAAATACTTTCTCCTTTGCTCTTCCGTTGGAGTATAGATATTAAGCTGATTTTGCAATGCTCTGTGCACCACTGTTCGGAGTCAGCATCAAGCTGAGATGATGATTGTGTAATTTGTTTTTCCTTGTGCTTTTTTAGGTCTGGAAGGCCGTGGGTTGGAGACTGATTGCTCTCTCTTTTGGCCTTTATGGGCTCCTTTATGTCTATGAGCGCCTCACCTGGACCACAAAAGCAAAGGAGAGAGCTTTCAAGAGGCAGTTTGTGGAGTATGCTGGGGAGAAACTGCAGCTCATTGTCAGCTACACAGGCTCCAATTGCAGCCACCAAGTCCAACAGTGAGTTGCCTATATTCAGATAAAAACCTTAAGTTATTTGGGGTTTTTTTATGCTGTTCCTCGTTCAAACAAGTCTTCATTCTGAATTCCACATTTAAAAATGTGTAACGACACGTGTTTTAAAATAATACTGCTCCTTTTTTTAAACTAGTAGTGGTTGAGTGCTGTTAAGCATTGAGCTTAATGTATTTCTGTGTCTCAAATCAAGATGCCTTTACATATTCTTGTGCAGAAGTGGTAGGGTGAAGATCTGAGCCAGCACCATCAGCACTATACATCAAAGGGATTTAGTCCTTGACTTTGCTGCTTGATCTTACTTTCTGTCACACCCAACTCTTCTTGTTTCATAGGGAGCTTGCTGGAACGTTTGCTCATTTGTGTCAGCAAGTGGATGTCACACGGGAGAACCTTGAGCAGGAAATTTCTGCCATGAATAAAAAAATCGAAGTTCTGGATTCACTGCAGAGCAAAGCAAAACTGCTCAGGTGAGATTTGGTTATTCCATATGATTGTTTTTCCTGTGATTGCCCTGGGATGTTCAGATGAGCTGTAGTTTTGAGTTCACTCTGTCTTTGTCACAGTGTTTGATGTGCAGACCTTTCCCTACCAACTCGTGTTCTTTCTCTTGGTACTTTCCCATGGACAGTCATATAAAGCTTCTGCTTCACAAAATATCTTTTCCTTCCTCTTTTTGATTTGTTTGGAATTACAGTTCCTTTCCATTTATCAAAACATACAGTCCTCTACTCCTCAAACGCCTTCAGCTGTTACAAAATCATGCAAATAAGTCTCACCCTCACCTTTGTACACAATTGTGTGCTGATTTCTTTACACTGCAAAGGCTGTCAGGAAGACTTTTTCAAACATTCCTTGCTTACTCAGTAAGATTGATGTGAAGTTGTGTCCAAGATCTCAGTTTGAACTTCAAAGCCTAGGCATTGTTAGCAGGCAAGCACTCCTGACCTGAGGAACGGCAACAGCATTTTGGAGTGGATCTCTGGCACTCCATGCCTTGCTGGGTACTCATTTCAGTGGCACTTCTTTCTGACTGGCTTAAGAGCTGTTTCCTTCACCTAACAAAGACTTTCTGTCCTTGCAGGAACAAAGCAGGTTGGCTGGACAGCGAACTCAACATGTTCACACATCAGTACCTGCAGCAAAGCAGATAGTGTGGGAAGGAGAGAAAAAAAAGTTTCCCTTCAGTGCTCTCTTAATTACTGCAGAGAACGTGGTGGGTGATGGAATTCCCTAAAGGGAATGAGCAAGAGCCTATTGCTATGTTTCCAGTTGCTGTGTGAACAATAGGATTCTGCTTCCCTGTTCTGTGTCCCACCTCTAAACACTAGCTGTTAATAACTCTTCTTTTTCCTTCCTGTGAGACCAGGCTACTTCAGGAGGAATGTGTGCTTCATACATTTACAGGGGGCTTTTACTGCACTTCATTTTGCTTTAAACAAATTTAAAGCAAACAAGAAAAATGTTTATCAGGTTTAAAAGCTATTCTGACACCTCTTTATGGAGTCATTTGTTTTACTACATAAAGACAGAGCTTTTGAGTTCCAAGCCCAGGTGGGGGTGTGAGTGACAAGCAGCTGTTTGTCTAAACACAGGTCCCATGCACACAGATGTGGTGGTGGTTTCACAATGCATTTATAGCCCACACAGGCCTGTCTCCTGGGTTAATATTCTGTTATTCTAGAACCTGACACAGAATCCCAATGTCCCTTCATAGAAAGGTTTATTGCTGTCAGTATGCTTAAACCTCTGAACAAAACCCAGTCCTCTTCCAGAGAAAGAGGGATTAAGATTTTGCTTTGGTAAGCTTAGTGGCTTTGGAGTTAGTTTCTTCCTCTTAAGAGCTCTTTAATAACAGTCTGGCCCATTTCCTGTCACAGACAAGTAGTTTGCAAAGACAGAACTAGTTCCTGTGAAGAAGGTAGTGCCGATAATTTGGCAGCTTGTTGAGGAAGAAAACTAGGAAGGAAAAGCCAGTTGACAGAATGTAACGAACTGCCTTACGAGCTAAGTCAATGAATGTGGGTTTTCTTTGGAAATGCACAGCTGTGTTTCTGGAAGCAGGCCTTTGGAATTCCATTACCACTCTCTGGCCACAAGAACAGCATGTGGATTACACGCTGTAAGAGATTTTGCTTCGTGCAGAGTTCCCACAGGATGTGGCGGTCCGGGCAGCGATAGGATTTGATGATGTTTCTCTTCTGTTAAAAGTATGAGAACAAGCTGGCAGGTACAGCTCCTCGGGGGTGGGGGGAGTTGTGGCCCTCGTAGTTCATGCCAGGGCAAGAATGGGTTAATGCAACTTTTTTTTTTTTTTTCCCCCAAGGCATTCTTTATTTGCAAAGAGATGAAATGAATTTTTGAGTTTTGCCCTGAAGCAGTTATGAATTTGGAATATAAGATTTGGGAACTGTAAGGATTTGAGTCTCTTCCTGTTGAAATTGATAGAGAAGAAATTCTCACTGATTTTAGGAGTAGTAGGATATGTTTCCTCTGTTGTTTGGAAAGTTTCTTTTCCTCTTTGTGGGTCAGTATTTTGCCATGTGTTGGGTATAACCTTTCTGTTGCCCACAAAATGCCTGAGGAGTCCAGAATCGGATCCTGTAGTTCTAGGGTTAGTGACAACCTAAATCTGTTCAGCATCACACACATAGAATATGGACTGCATTTAGAACTACTGAGCAGTGGGGTGTTCTTATTGACAATGAGACTTTTCCCTTGAAAATGGCCTTAGGATTTCTCATTCCTGCTCAGGTGTGCCTGTGACAAGTCCCCTGTTTCTTGTGTCATGGAAGGTCCAGAAAGAAGCTGCCTGATACTTGAGGGAGTAAAAATAGTGAAATGTCAGTAAGTACATCTTAGGTAAGGCTGTTCTGAGATTTGCAGTAAGACTTGAAGTACCTTGATTGTGTTGGAGCTGGTGGTGAGACTCTTATGTGTCCAGAATGCAGAAAGAAAACAAACCTCTCCCTTCCAGTAGACAGCCTCGACTCCAGCTCAAACTGAAAAACTGTTTTTATCAGAAGGCTTCATTGGCCTTGGCTGGGTTCCTCAGGTAGCCACCAGGACATAAATATAGCTTGGATCAGATCTGAAAACGAGCGAGAAAGAAATCTGAGTCCTTGCCTCTGGAAGTCTGTGCTCTGGGCATGTGGTGAAGTATACTGGAGTAAGTGGATCATCCCTTACTCTGCTGGAGGTATTATTTGAATTAATTTGGATCTCTGGTCTCTCAAGCTATCACATACACAGTTATAAGCTATGTACTCTTCTGTTGAGTTAAAACATTAAGCACATCCCTCACACACCAGGAAATTGTCAGTGCCAGGTCGAGGCAGAGGGTGATGTACTATTGCTCAGCAGCTCATGACTACTTGAAATGCTGACCTTGCTTTTGAAGACCTGTCAGCATCTCTTCAGCAGGCCTTTAGGGGAAATCTGATAAATGAGCTTATCTTTAAGCCAGTGTCTTATCTGTAAAGGGAAAAGAGATTGATGGGTTCTTGGAACCTGGAGTCTTGGTGCTGTGTGTGCCTCTGATGCTGCTCAGCTTTGGGTGTTGTGTTCTCACTGCACAGCTGACACAACCTGCAGAACGGGGGAAAGAACCACTTGGAGTTTTTCAGAAGCAAAACTGCTAACAGGGGAGAGAAGAATTTTTAATATGTGTGTAACCCTTGTCCCTAGAAGCCTGAATGATAGAGAATCAAACTTTTAACAGACAGGCCTATGAGCTGGATTCCTCTGAAACACATGAACAGCTGCACTTCTTTAATTCAGAGTGGTGGAGGAATGAACACTATCAGGAGGAGGCTGTTCTCTTCTGATTTAATAAGGAAGGCTAAACTAATCTGTAAAACAGGTAATTCCAAAAACAGTCTCCCCCAAAACTCCCATTAAAGAAGGTCAGCTAAATGCACTTTTATCTTATTGCTGCTACATTTCCCGTTGCGTTACGTTGATGGAGCTCTTCAAAATACTCTTACCAGCGAGTTTATTCTCTGCTGTATTTAAGGTGATAAATTTGCATGAATTAGTCCTGTAACAGTGCTGTAAACAATGGAAACCAAAATAAAAATGAATTGGAAAAAACAGTTCTCCTGACGTGTCCTGAGTGTTGTGACACAAAGTCTTCCAGTGTAAGTACATCTATTTCAGGGGTGTTCCGTGTGGTACTGAGGTGCATGTTTGACACCAGTGACCACCTTCTGTGCTCTTACTTCAAAAGTTAACAAGGAGACTGATTGTAAGGTTAGAAAACCCTTCTTGAAGAATTATGGGGAGGAGATTAGAGCTTATCTTGCTTAAGAAAGCTTTCCTGCCTAGAAGAGGCATCTTTCCCCAGAGACAGTTTTAGATGTTTTCTGCTCTTGCATTCCTGAGAAAGACTCCCTGGCATGAGAAAAAGATGAGTCCTGCACACATGACAAAGGCCCCCCACAGAGGGAGGGGCAGAAATTGTAAAAGCCCTGAGGAGGGCGTTTGAAGTGCCATTAGGATTAATGTTCTCCTAAGTCCAGTGTTCTCAACTTTGGAAATAAATTTTCCTACAATCCTTCCACTGCCTTTCACAGAATCACAGAATCAGGGAGGTTGGAAAACACCTCTGAGATCATCAAGCCCAACCTTTGACCCAACACCACTTTGCCTACTAGCCCATGGCCCTCAGTGCCACATCCAGTCTCTCCTTAAACACCTCCAGGGACGGTGACTCCACCACCTCCCTGGGCAGCCCATTCCAGTGTCTCATCACTGTCTCTGGAAAGAATTTCCTCTTGATGTCCAACCTAAACCTCCCCTGGCGCAGCTTAAGGCTGTGCCTTCTTATCCTGCTGCTGGTTCCCTGGGAGAATCCTGGGAGAAGAGCCTCCTTCCCGTCAGGGAATTGTAGAGAGCAATGAGGTCTCCCCTGAGCCCTCGGCGGCAGCTGCGTGTGATCCTCACACCGACGACACTGAAAGTTTTAGTCGCATTAAAACTGTCGGTATCGAACCAACGATTTCTTGAGGATACCGGAGGAAGCAACGGCCGGCGAATGTATCGCTCAGTGCCTCCGGCTCTCCCGCGTTACGAGGGGCGGCCTCCGCCGCGGGCCCGGGCGGGCGGTGCCGGCCCCGCGCATGCCGGGAGAGCCCGGGGCGGGCCCGGAACGGGGAATCCCGGCGGCTGCCGCGGCACCGGCACGGCGGGGGAGCCCCCGGAGCCCCCGGGGCCCGGAGCGGCGGGGACGGCCCAGGTGGGACGGGGAACGCGGCGGGACGGGCGGGGGGAGGAGGGAGGGTTCGCCGCTGCCAGCCCGGCCTCTGGAAGAGGGAGGGGAATTTTGCGATGCTCGGGGCTCCCTCCCCTTCCTCGTGGGCGCGGGGGAGCCGAACCAGCGCCCCGGAACAGCCGCGGGGCCGGACAACTCCCGCGCAGGAAGCTCGTCCTCGGTTCCCGAGACAACCGCCGCTGATCTTTAACTGCGGGGAGCGAAGCTCCTCCTCGCAGAGGATTCAGGCTAGAGCAGGTTTTCATAAACTTGAGCTTCTTGTGGGTTGTGCCAAGAGTGGACCTCATCTGGTAAAACCCTTCCAGAAAGTCCCTTGACCGATGTTGTTTTCGGAGTGTTTGCTCTCTGGTGAGCAGTGGTGAGAGGGTGCTCATCAGAGCTGTCAGCTTTGTCCTGTGGAGGCTGCGAGAACCACTGGTTCTTGTCAAGTTTTCTCAAATTTAGTATCGCCTCAACAGCGATATTTCTATTTTCTGTCCCGTACCGCACCTCTCACTTATTTCCTGTAGCAAAAAGATATGTTGTAGTTTGTTAGCGCTGCTCTCCGCTCCTCCTAGTGCCCTTGTACCACATTTGATTCTCCGTGTCCGGTTGCCAAGGGAGCAAACACAAAAACAAATAAGATGAGCTTTGGAGAAGAGTTTAGGGATCTTTCCGAATGAAATGTCCTAGAAAACCATATAGTTTTATCGAGAACATAATTTATCAATCTGATCAAAAGCAACGTGGGAGTTTGGGTTTAGGATTTGCTTCTGCTTTATTTAAAAATCCGCTTTTTGCAAATTTAGAGGAGCTTGTGATGTTGTGAAGATGTTCAACAGTGTGACAGCTTTCCAGTCAAACTAGACTTTATTTATCTATTAACTCCTTTTCACCCCCTTGTGGGACTTAAGGTAATTAATTTATGGGATTGGAATTGCCCAAGACCTTGTCCTGAGTCATAATTGAGCCTTTTGGAGCCTTCCTGCCTGGGGGATATGGAGGACAGTTTTGACTCATATTGCTTTTGGATGTAGCAAATGCTACATGTTGGTTAGTCATATCTTGAACTTATGAACATCCTGGGTTTATCAAAATACAAATTTCAATGTTCAAAAGAACATTAAAGCAGAATTGCATAAGAATATCCTAATTAACAGCCTCTGAACCAGATGTGTCTTATTTAGCTTTTTGATGTGACTTTTTCATGTGTGCTGTTTCCTCTGTCAGAGTTTCTTGTCTCTCTTCAGTCAGCTCCCAGTTTCTGAGTGCAAAATACTTGATGGTCCATCCGAGGGGAGAGAAGCTTGAGGTGGTGCTGGTTCTTAGCATAAGGAGTTTGGCTGATTTCTCAGGAGAAGGGATCAACACTCCAACATTTCAACAGCTGTAAGTGGGTTTTAGGAAAAATCCCCTGAAGGTGGTTTCTCCCGGGTCTGCTTCTTCACTTAATTCTTCCATTTGTGTGGTTCCCCCTTCCTCTGGCTTTACAGGAAAAGGGTTGTCTAGGATGGACTTAGAGCTTCTGAAGAGGCTGCGTCAGGCCAACCAGGACCTTCTACAAAGGCTCACAACAAAGCAGGAGGAGATCAGGAAAAGAGTTCCCAGCAAGCCACTCCTTCCAGCATCTGTTCTTCACCACAGAGCTGCTGAGGGATCTGTCCCCTGGCCCAGGAGAGGGGTATGTGTGGTGTCTGTGCTAGAAATTCTGGGAAGCAAATGGGCCTTGTGGGACAGCAGCTCTGCCTGTGGTGTGGGAAAGGAGTCATATGGACATGGAGGAGCTGGTAGAAACTGGAATGTGGAATAGGGAGTCTGCTAGAAAAGTAGCTGCTCTTTGGTTATTGTTTATCCTGTGGTCTCAGTCTGTTCTCCTTGCAAATAATTCAGTTCCTGCCTAAGACATGCAGGTTTCTTCATCTAAAATAGGAATGAACATTGTGGAACGAAATCCTTTTGTTTCTTCTAAGCACAAGGGCTGAAAGTTTCGTGGTTCCTCAGACTGGGAAAAGCTGCATTTAGCTGGAAGTGGATCTCTTTCTTCCCCAAATAAAAAGGTCTCACAATATCCCTCAGGAATTTAAAGGGGTGAGCAGACTGGAACGAGAGGTTAATTTTTCACTTAGTGAGTGAAATGTCCTGATGAAAGGTATTTGTAATGTGACTGATGCCATGTGTTGTGAGGGTCTCTGTCCTTACAGAAGGAGAATCAGGTGGATGCTGACCCTGGAGTGGTGGTGTCTGTGGAACCCAGAGCACGCACAGCCAGAGCAGCCCTCAGTTCACCTCTGAAACACAGCAGCAGGGACAGAGAGCTACAGCAGCAACAAGCAAAGGCACAGGAAGCAACAGGTTTGGATTCCAGCTATCCTGGGAAAGAGAAGAGTGTTATTCCAGTGTCTGCAATCATTCCATGTGGCAGAGAAGCCTCCAGAGTGGATGGGGATGGCCATGCTCAAGGAAGTCCAGAGAAGGAATCCTTCCTCCTGGGACTTGGAGAGAACAGAAAACAGTCTGCTCTGCTCCATGGTTTCCATGAGAAGAATCATCCAGACCCATCACTGAGCAGAGTGCAAAATGAAGAGCCCAGTGAGCAGCATGTGGTCAGCAGAGAGCCCACGATGCCTAAATCAGTCCTGGTGACATCCCGGGCCAAAGAGTTGAAGGTAAATGTCAAACCAGTGCTTTGCTTGTTTTCCTGAGTCAACAGAAGGATGGGGAAGAAGGGCCAGGAGAACATGACTTGCCCCGTTCCCACTGTGTAAATGGGAAGTTGGGGCTGGAACTGTTCCTGGGTGTAGCAGCCAGGGGCTGTTGGCAGTTTGTTCAGGCCCTGCTTTCCTCAGCCAGTGAACTGAAGGCCAGAAAACTGTCACACTTGACTGTGAGACTGCCTGTGTTTGCATGTGTGATCCATGTGCTGAGGGAGAACAGCCAGGGGCAGTGCTGCTGCTCCAGAGTTTGTTCCCCCGGGTGTGAAGGGCAGGCTCTGCCCCTGATCATCCTCCAGGGCAGCACAGGTTGCCTAATCTTTGGGGATGTGCATTGAGGGACCTCAGTATTTTGTTTAAAGCTCTGAAAAATCCTGCCTTAGACCTTGGCAAGTCCCCTCTTTCTGTTGTATTTATTGAGAAGGCAAAGGGCTGTTGAGCTAATCACTGGTAGAGGCACAGATAGAATCCAGCCTCAAAGTCACAGCTGTCCCATTTGAGCAGTTGCCAGTTGTTTCCTCAGCTGTACCTCTGAATGTCCTACTGAATGACTAAGAAGTCTTTATGAATTGTTTTCTTCCCAGAAGAAAGCTCATCATGTGACTTTTCAGCCTGAGCCTGAAGAAGATGCCACACCAGTGGGCAGCTGGTCTGCCCGTCCTTTCCTGGGCTATGACTGGATTGCAGGTGAATCCTAACCCTGAAGCAAAGCTCTCAGCAGGATGGGGTGGTATGAAGAGTTAAAACACAGTTTATGACCCCTTTAAGTTGAGGAGTGGTGGGACTGCTGTCCTCGAGTCCATGCAGAAAGTCTCAGGAGAGGGGCTGCAGCTCTGTCAGAGGCTGTTTCCTGTCCAGACATGACCTGTGCTTCCCTGGAATGGTGAAGTGGCAGTGGTATGGGAATCCAGGCAGCAAATGGCAAAGCCTTGTGGGGTCAGGGAGGATACCAAATAACTGGAATGAAATAAGGAAGCCAAACCACACAGTTAATTTGTGGTTTGACATCATGCCTTGGTCTTCTCATTACCATTATTTTGTTCTGACTGTTTTTTGTGAGGCTGGCTTTGGTGCTTTCCAAAATGTGATAAACCCGTGAACTTTCCTCTCTCCTTGGCCTTCTCAGGGCTCCTTG